AAAAAAAAAAGTTCCCAAAAAAAAAAAAAAAAAAAAGAAAAAAAATTGTTTTTTTTTTTTTTTTTTTTTTTTTTTTTTTTTTTTTTTTTGATGATGATGATTTTGTTCTCTCTGTTGTTTTTTTCTGGAAATCAATGTTTGCCAACAGGTTTTTTTCCCATTTTTTTAAAAATGTTCACAGTAATTTTTAATCTAGGTTTAAAGTTTGATATAGTAATAATAAATGATAATAGCGGTGATTTTATCTCATCATTTTTTTGTATTGTCGAGTGGAAATTTTAATTTTTTTCTTCTTCTTCATAATTTCAACGAATGTCTTTGAAGATTGTTGTTGTTGTTGCTATTTCAATGATAATGACCATTCCATTAACGCGTTAAACTTGTTTGTTTGTTTAGTTTGCTTATAATCCTTGAATGATTCAAAGACATTGTTTTGTTTTTCAAGAATAATTTTGTTGCGAAAAAAAAAAATATTAGAAATTAATTATCAAACAAGGTTGATTCGAAAAAAAAATCGAAGGTTGAATTTATACATGTAGGTATAATGACCTTTATGGATTCATATACAACAAAAAAACAAAAAAAAACAGAGGTTGAACAGTCAATCGACTTATGAATATTTTTCTATTGATTAAAACAAAATGTGATATATAAACAGCAACAAATTCCTTGGAATTTCATTGATATCATATATTCACTGGAATTTTAGTCCCTCTTTTTCTTTTTGTTTGATTGATAAATTCATCCTTTTTTTACATTTATCTAACCAACCATTTATCAACCAGATATGATTCTTAGAATTTTTTTTTCCAACGAAGAGCGTTTTATTTTATACAATTTAGCTTGAAAGGATATTGACCAATACTGAAACGTCAAAAAAAAAATGCTATCTCTGCTTTATAATTTGCAAATGATTGAATAAAAATAATTACAATTTAGCAATTGGTTATCAATTTCGCAAATCATTTAAATATTAAAAAAAAAAATAAATTTCGCAAACAAAAAAATTTCCTGGAAAAAACAAAACCTGAAATTCTTGTAGGAAAACTTGTCGGAAATTTCGTTTTTTTTTTTTCATTTTAACAGCTTTGTCACGCTTGAAATTTTGATCAAGTTTTTTTTTCTAAAAAAAAAGATATTTTGTTCTTCAATTTAATAGAATATATAGATTTAAAGAATAAAAATGCAATTAAATTTCCAGATGCAACCTGAACCAACCGGTGCACGAGCTCGATTGAATAATGTACTTCAAGTTTGTCGTATTGTATATCAATATGGTTTTATTCCATATGTAATCTATTTGGGTATTAAAAAAGGATCCGATCCAGGTTTACCCGAAATCACTCTTCGAAGGTAAATAATCTTTTTTTTTGATTTGATCAATTAATTTAATTATTATTCTATTTTATTTTGTACAGTGTTTTATGGTAAATTTGATTCGAATCAATCAAACATTATGGTTTTCTCATTGATGAGCAAATTTTTTTTCCTTAGTTATACTAATAATAATCATATGATACAAAAGTAAAAAAAAAGATTCAATAAAATATATAATTCAATTACGAATTTGATCATTCTTTTGTTTATATACAATCAATAATTTATCTGGCATATCATTTAATTTCATTTCGATTCGTTTCAATTGCCAACCATTATCATTATCATTGCCATTATTGTCTTGATTTTTCTGTTCAATTCGATCAGCTTCGATATGTAATAGACCATTTCGTTTTGAACCTTGAAATGGTAACCAAAAATCTGCTTGATCCTGACCAACACGATTACGTTGTTTATCCACTAAATCTGGTGGTTGAATTTTTACTGGTTCACCGACTAATCGTAAGGCTGCTTCATTACGGTTAATTTCTTCGATGGCCATCGCACAGAATGGCTTTCGTAACACAGAATATTGGCTATATTTAAGGGTTATAATACAGATTGTTGAACCAACTACTCCAAGAGCTGATGCAGTGATTACATAACGATTTAATGGCAAACGTAATAGAAACTTAATCATTATTATTTTTGAATAAATGATATAAATATTTTCGAAAAATTTTGATCCTATTTCCAAAATTAAACTAAACACACACATATGAATCCGGTAATGTTGAAATAGAAATAGAATAGCTTTACACGCGTTTTTTTTCTCGCTTTTATGAAATCGTTGCCGAAGATACCCATTGGATGTTGAATTTAGGCCAAGAGAAAATTCCGAGTGGCGAAGATTAATTTCATTAGCAGGCAACCATGAATATGACGAAGAAATAAACAAAGGNATCGAACTAAGTAAATTCTTAGCTAATGAACAGTTCGATGTATTCGATTTTCCATATTGTTCGTTTTCGAACAATCTCAGTATTTTGCTATAAAAACAAATGTATTTTGACTAAATAAAGCAGTGTTGTAAAACCTCTGTTTATGTTCGTATCATTTCTTACGTATCGTGTATGTACAGCGAAGATTAATTTCATTAGCCGGCAACCATGAATATGACGAAGAAATAAACAAAGGTGTTCTGGGAAAATGTGAATTATCACGTTTGGAATATATCAATTTGAATACAATTGCACCGGTGCGATGAAAGCCAAACCGCTGGTAGTTAGCATGTCCCAGCTGAACGTCTTAATCGAACACAACCATTTACAAATATCGGTGTGGATCTATTCGAATTGAAAACAGAACCAAAAGCAACAGGAATAATCTTCACGTGTTGTGTGACCCGAAGTGTTCATTTCGAATTATTAGATAGTGCCAAAGCTGAAGACGTATGCCACGCTTTTTTAATATTTGCCGATCTCAATCATGCCGGAAGTAATTTATTCAGACAATGGCACAAACTTTAAACGATTAAGTATGATGATGAAGAACGCAATGGCTTTATTGAAAGAAAAGTTTCACTGGCACTTTAACACGCCAGCATCGCCGTTTAGGGGTGGTTTCTTTGAATCATCAATCAAAACGATGAAGAAAGCGTTTTATAGTATTACATGGCAAAAGAAAATTGATCGAAAGGAAGTGCGAAGAATCTTATATCGTATTCAAGCAATCATGAACGCACGACCACTAATGCCGAAGATACCCATTGGATGTTGAATTTAGGCCAAGAGAAAATTCCGAGTGGCGAATGTTGAATTACAACTTTAAAACAGTTCGTCGATCGAACTAAGTAAATTCTTAGCTAATGAACAGTTCGATGTATTCGATTTTCCATATTGTTCGTTTTCGAACAATCTCAGTATTTTGCTATAAAAACAAATGTATTTTGACTAAATAAAGCAGTGTTGTAAAACCTCTGTTTATGTTCGTATCATTTCTTACGTATCGTGTATGTACAGCGAAGATTAATTTCATTAGCCGGCAACCATGAATATGACGAAGAAATAAACAAAGGTGTTCTGGGAAAATGTGAATTATCACGTTTGGAATATATCAATTTGAATACAATTGCACCCCCAGAATATTTGCATTCGCAATTGATCAAGGGGTTATTATAATATTTGTAAAATTGTTAAATCTCCATCGCGTATCATTTTGATCGGAGTGAAGTACGAAGTAGTCGACAATCCAGAGATACGAGAACATTATTATATTAAAAAAGCAAACCCGATGGGCACCAACATGGAGGTGGTTGATATCCCTTCGGTGATAGCAACTTGTACTACTTATTGCGATTCGAATAATCTATATATAATGGAAATAGTCAATCGTCATCTATGAATTTCAAAAATTTTTTATGTTGGAACGTATTTAATTTGATCATTGAAACTATCATCAATCAATTCTAAAGCAATAAATTTATTTCTAAAATTGAACTAAACACACACATATGAATCCGGTAATGTTGAAATAGAAATAGAATAGCTTTACACGCGTTTTTTTTCTCGCTTTCCTTTCACACACAGTTTGCTCACTTCATTCATCACACGTTGGATTTTTCATTTTTTGCCGATTTTTTCATTTTTTTTTTGGAAACATCTTTTTCAAAATACCTTATCCTGATTGTTGTTTATCTCGAGTCGTAAAGTTCCAGAGGGAAATACTAATTCCCCCTAAACAATTCAATTATGCGTGCCAAGTGGCGTAAGAAACGTATGCGACGTTTGAAACGTAAACGTAGGAAGATGAGGGAAAGGTCCAAGTAGAATACCTACTTCGAGGTCTTCATCCTCGTTTGATCATCATTCTTAAATCTTGATTGATTCCAGAATCCTAGATCCAAAACAGCAAACTTTCCCATTTTTTTCTTATCCAACAAAATTCTTTTCAAAAATACTAAATCCATAAATTTNTTTTGATTTATTAGATTTAACTGAATCTCGAGTTATCGATGTTAATCTTATCGATTCAATCATCAGTATTGATTGGGAATTTGGTCATGTTGAATGTTCAGCCAAAAATGATGAAAATATTAAACGTATTTTAAGCCAATTATTCCGACAAAAATTGATTAATGAAGCACGACGAATGGAAAAAGAAAAAAATGTTCAAACCAATAATATTGTGACAAACAGTAACAATAACAACAACAATCTTACTACAGTATCGATCGATAAAGGAAATGAATCCGATCCGGATATATCACCATCACGATCATCAATATCATCGGAAAAATTATTTTTTGGTGATGATTTTTATGGAAGTTGTAATAGCCTTAATGATTCAAGAAAAAATTCAATCAGTGATACAGATGAATTTGAATATAGGCTTCGAAATGGATTCAAAAATAATAATTGTATTATTTCATGATGATGATGATAAAAATTGTTTTTGGCTCTTTTTTCAAAAAAACAACCAAAATTATTGATGCCACATTTTTTACAAAAAAAAAATTGTTTACAATTCCGGACACAAGACGGCAGCGTTTCTCTTCAAAAAAATTTGCATCTTTTTTCCGTTTGGATCTTAAATGATATGCTTATTTTCTTCTTTTTTGATGGTTTCTTTCTTCTTTTTTTGGATATCCATTTACAAAATATGGACAACAAAACAAAAATACACGATTAACTAACTTACACACACACACACACACACACACATTATCGTTTTGGCAGTCAAAGAGAACAGACGTCTGAACTGTGAACTTTATTGCTACAACTTTCTCCACAACAATTTTTTTCTTTCTCTTCTCTCCCTTTTGTTTTTGTTTTGTTTTTGCTTGGGTGTTTTTTTTTTTTCTGTCTCTTCTAATATCCAAAATCCAACTACCTCATCGAAACACAACAATCCGTCCTTGGCAAAATCATCAACGAGACAGCCTGAAAGTCGGCCAAAATGGCGACCACTTCAGTAAACTCGCCAAATGTCAACAATCGTTCGTCGCACAATACTGATACCAATGATGGCGAAATAATAACCACATTGACCAAAATGCAAACTACCTTAGACAACGCAGTAAAAGTTTCGAAAAATATGCGTGTTGATGTTAAAAAATCCATAGACGATCAAATAGAGCTTCTAAAATCCAACATAATACCGCAAGTAAAAATCCTAATATCGAACGTGGTCCAGGCTCAAAACAAAGAATCAGCATATCGTAAACGAATAACTGAACTAGAAATATCACTGCAACTAAAGAATCAAGCAGAATCAGACAAGCTGGAAAATATTGAAAAAATGATTCTAGAAAACAAAGAAGCGTTAACCAAAATAAGTAATCAAGGCAGTGATACCAACAAAAAAACATATGCAAAAGCAGCAACAATAAATATCGGTCGTCAAAAAGCAGCACCAAAAAACAGCTATGCATCTATATTATATCTCAAAGATGACGAAGAAAAAACCAAAACCTCAACCGACGCTCTACAGGTCGCCAGAAAATTAGTCTGCTCAAAACCAGCTGGTACTGCAATAATAGCAAACAAATTACTATCAAATGGTAAAATCATGATCTTCTCTAAAGATGAAAATTCAAAAGCGAATCTTGACAATCTAATCAATGCTTCTGATGAAATGATATCAGAGGAACCGAAACGCCAAAACCCGGTTATCCTGTTAAAAGGAGTGCCTAAAGAAATCGATCGTGATGACGTACCAAAAATCATCAAAGACTGCAATCAAGATATTGCCAATGCCTGTGAAAATGAAGATTCCATCACCGTAGTCTATCTAAAAACCAACAGAAAAGAGCATCTAGTCAATGTAGCTATCAAAGTCACCCCAACAATCCGCAGAATAATCCTAGAAACACTAGATCGTAATGTATCGTTTGGCTTCAATCTGGTTTACGCAGAAGATGCATCTCCAGTCCGTCAATGCTTCCACTGCCTTAGCTTTGGACATACACAAACGAAATGTCCCGTAAAAGAAAAAAATAAAGAAGAATTACCGCAATGTATGCATTGTCCAGGCAAACACCTAAAAGCCAACTGTCCTGAAAAAAACAAAAAAGTGATATGCTGCAACTGTGCCAAACAACCTGGAACGTCTAACAAACAACCAGAAAACATTAACCATTCGCCAATTAGCGAAAAATGTCCAATATACAAAGCGGTACTGACTAAAGCAATAAGTAAAATAGACTATGGATACTAGTACAGCAACCACAAATAACCACAGATCTACATCATCATTGAAGTGCCTACAGATAAACTGTAGAAGAGCTTATGCACCTGCAAAAGAACTAATAAACTACATATTGAGCAACAACATCGATATCGCCTTTGTATCAGAACCATATTTAATAAACGACAACACACCAGCTAGTCTATATCCCATCAACTGCTTTCATCATAAAACACCAGACAAAAGAATCTTGGCGGCAATATATGTAAACAACAACAACATTCAACCAATCCTAATCCAACAGCATAGCGACAGCTGCTTTTGCGTCATAGACATCCCGACCAACGGAAAAACCACAAGATTAATAAGTATCTATCGACCACCAAATGATGCAAATAGCACCGAAGAACTTATCGACAAAATGGAACGATCACTACCAGCATCATTAAATTATAACGTACTAATAGCAGGTGACTTCAACGCGCACCACAAAGAATGGGGGTGTCCTTCAAGTGACGAAAATGGAGAAACATTGTACGACTTCTTCCAAGTAAACGACCTCAACATCTGCAACGAAGGAACAATTCCTACTTATGTTCACCTATCGAATAATGCATCATCAATAATCGATTTAACAACAGCATCACCAGAATTAGAAATCGAGCAATGGAAAGTAAACCCAGACGCAATACTGGGAAGTGATCATCATGCTATTGAATTCATCATCAAAGAAACAAATATACAGTCGACACCGCACAACAACAGACAATCAACTTACCGATATAGAACCGACAACGCAAATTGGGATTATATCTCATACGAATTCAAAATAGCAATGGAAATAAATGATATTAACGAACAAAAGATAAATAAAATGCTAAAACCAGACGAAATCGACGATGTAGTAGATCAGATAACAAAGCTAATTGTTAAAGTGTGCGACAAAAATCTTAAGAAAAGAAAACGATCTACAGTTAAAAAATGTCCATGGTGGGACGATGAACTAGAACAACTCAAAAAATCGACAATTAAATCCAAACATGTATTTCAAAACGCAAAAAACAACAACAATCCACCGCTAGTGATATCACAAAAACTACAAAACCATATCGATTGCAAGCGAGAATACGCCAAAAAAATCCGACAGAAAAGCAACGACAGCTTTACTAAATATCTAAATTCGCTAAAAGGAATGCCTGACATCAAAAGGGTGAGCAAACTAATGGCTGACACAACAACAACCAGATTTCCAACAACCTTGATCGTAAACGGGATACCAACTACTGACCATGAATCAAATGTAGCAGCTATGATGGATCGCTTCTTTCCAATACATCCTGCTCCAAATCTATCGCAACCAAATTATATGTCTCTCTTCGGTGATGATGATATACCAATAACAAAAAACGAAATATTGATGGCCAGCAAGAGCATGAACCCGAATAAAGCACCTGGTATGGACGGATTAACTGCCGACATAATATATCAATTTATCGCGTCAAATTTAGAAACCACAACCGCTCTCTTCAACAAATGTTTATCAACTGGTCATTTCCCAAGTCCATGGAAAGTGGCGACAATCAAATTCCTACCAAAGCCGGGGAAACCAAACTACAAAGTCATTGATAATTATCGACCGATTGGGTTACTGTCAGTGTTCGGTAAAATACTGGAAAAAATAATCGTCGACCGCATTCTATATGATCTCCGCCAAAGAGGACAATTATCAAACCAGCAATATGGCTTTACGCCACAGCGATCAACCATAAATGCCGTAGCCGACGCAATCGATTGGATCACCAAGTACAAGAAAAGCAAACAACATGTAACCGCTGTCTTTATGGACATTAAAAATGCTTTCCCATCAGCTGACTATGGCATAATGACCAAAACACTGAGGACAAAACAAATCAGAACAAATCTTCATTCAATAATTGCTGACTTTCTAACGGGACGCTTAGTTAAATATGACAAATTCGTGAGACCAAACAACATCGGATGCATTCAAGGATCAGTTTCGGGTCCAACATTATGGAATATACTAATGGACTCATTATTTCAAATTGAACTTCCTCAGGGATGCAAAGTCATCGCATTCGCTGACGATCTTCTATTGTTGGCCCACGGAGACGAACCAAATCAACTTACCAGCCGAACACAACAAGCAATCGATAGTATAATAAATTGGGGTAATGAACAACGACTTATGTTCTCAGCAGAGAAAACATACATAATGGGCTTCTCAAAAATGGCAAGAACAATCAATGTCAAAATCGGTGATCGTAATCTGGAAATGAAAGACCAGGTAAAATACCTGGGCATCGTTTTAGATCAACAATTGAATTTTAAAGGCCACGCCGATCACGTTATTAAAAAACTCACCAATCTGTTCAACATGTTTTCACGATTAGTGCGACCAAGCTGGGGACTAAACCCAGATATAGCTGGCCTGATATATAGAATGGTAGCCGAACCAATGGTACTATATGGTGCATCGATATGGCATAAAGCATTCGAGGTGAAAAAGATAGCACAGCGAATCCTAAGTGTCCAAAGAAAAATCTTAATCAAAGTATGCAAAGGTCACAGAACAATGTCATACACGTCTACCTTTCTTATTAACAATGTGATGCCCATCGATATTAAAATAAAGGAAAGAGCAGCTGTGGAAAGGGTGAAATTGCTGGGTAAAGAACAAGATGAAAATATTAATATTGATCTGGAAAAAACAGTTCCCGTCACAAGTCTTCCACATCCAGGAAAAAGAATCATAAAAGAATATTTGAAAATTGTCGATCACAATGAAATCAACAAGCGTATAACAAACGAAAAAATCTCGATCTTCACTGATGGTAGTAAGCTGAACAATCACACTGGTGCAGCATGTGTCGTTACCAAAAATCAACAACTAATCGATCAAAAAAAGTGGAAACTGGCTGATCACTGCTCTGTCTTCCAAGCAGAACTGCTAGCCATCAAAATGTCTTTATTACAGTTCCAACCAGAAAGCAATGTCACCGTTCAAATATTTTCTGACTCAAGATCTTCCCTGGAGGCAATTAGAGATTGCAATAACTGCCATCCATTAGTAATTGACATCAACAACAGAATTGGCGAACTAAAAGAAATAGGCACGAACGTCTATCTATATTGGATCAAGGCGCACACAAATTACGTCTGGAACGAATTGGCAGATCAACTGGCAAAAGCGGCAACGATGGAGAGCTTCGCCGTTGAGGAGTACAACAAAATGCCGGCGTCTACACTTAAACATGAATATCGACAAAAAGCTAATGCTGAATGGGCCGCACGGACTACAGATGCTGCAACCGGAAGATGGACGGTTCGTCTTATTCCGAGTTTGGAGATTGCGGAGAGAGTGCAAACCAAGCTCGGTATGAGCCAATTATTAACACAAGTATTGTCTGGCCATGGCGCAACCAGACATTACCTCTGTAGGTTTAAACAAATCGATAACGGCTCCTGCCCATGTAATAATAACAATCAGCAGACAACAGAGCATTTAATACTGGACTGCCCCATTTGGACAAACTTCCGTCATCGAATTACAATAAAACATGGTATATCTACGGACGATCTGGCCAACCTGGACGTAATCCTCAGGAACAACGACCTGGCGCAGGATTGGATCAGTTTCGTGACGATCATTTATGACGGATTGCCATTCATCAATCGTGAACACCGATCCGTACCCGTATAAATTAAAAATTTTTGTATTTATTTCTTACCATCGTTTCCTTCCTGCTAAACTAATTGTCATTTCACATAGTACATATTGTTATTTCACATTATTTTTCTTTTAATTTAATTTATCTGTTTTTCACATTTGTACAATGTATTTTACACACCTTTATCCCTGTATACAAACACAAGACATAATTTGATAACCAAACGCCCTCCCGCCTTGATGTTTCCCTTGCATCGGTGGTGCAGTGGCAACCCATTCACAGGACACACAC